GGGCAAAGGAAGTAACAGTGAAACATTTCTGCCAATTTCTGTTGAATATCATAATCCGCTTAGGTATGGGGAAGTGAGGGTTGGAGGATGAGCTGCATTTCTTTCTTTAAGCCACTCTCCTTTCCGATTAGGGGAGACTAATCCCCCTGAGAGTGGAGACTGTCATCTTTGCTTCGGAATCCTCTGAGTGACTGTAACTTAGCGTCTTGTATGGAGAAGGCACATAGTGCATACTATCTGCTTGTTGCTAGTGATAAATTCACCTATAAAGGTTGGAATTTGACCAACTTCAAGTTTAAAAGGGGGATTATTCCATAAAGCAGGGTAGGGAAAAGCAAAAACAGCAGTGGTGGGGTTTTTTTTTTTTTTTTTTAGCAACTGGACATAGCGTCTTAGAAAAATGACCTGGCCCTGCCCTTATTTGGTGCCTTCATGTCTTGGTGGAGCAGGGAATCCAAGTGTGGTAAGCCAGACAGTCCCCTGCCATTCTGTGCTCCAGGGGTATAAGGCTGACACCTAGTTTCACCCGAAAAGGTGATTCAGGCTTCTTAATTCTTTACAGAACCACAGCTTAGTACTCAGGGCAGGTGTCTACCTGTGGGCTGATTCTCCATTTGGTATCTAGGAATTAACACTGTCATCCTGTGAGAGTCAGGAGCAGAAGTTCAGTTCCTCTTGGTGTGGTCTTTTGCCACGGCAGGTATTATTTATCCATTAGGAATGTCATCCCAAGTGCAAGGGAGAAAAAGATTTTGTTCTCCTACCCTATTAAGGCAGTGTCTGAGGGGCAGACCGATCATGTCAACAAACTCGTCTAGTTCTGCTTCCTCCCGGGCCTGTTGTGAGGACCTGACATACCTGGCCATGAAGTGATGTGCTCTTGAATCGCAGGAAGTGTTGGGGTTAACGAGCTTTGAGAGGAGGGTTAGGCCCTTCTCATTTTAACCTCCACTAGCCAGAACCAGACTGACCGGCAGTCTTACGAGTTAGTTAAGTAGCTCTTGAATGTGATTTCCTTCCACCCAAAAAATATGGGCAAAGCCCCCCAGAGGGAAGGTCAAAAGGATACAGTGGGGTAATATTTCTAGCAGTATGAAGGGGTCTCCAGGCCTCCGCTGCCCTAGCCTGGTCATGCCAGCAGCAAAGAGCAAGGAACCAAAGGGCAGCCTTCCCCACGGCCTGCCTGCCAGTCACCAGTTTGAGCCAGGAAGCAGTGTAGGGGGACAATAGAATTATACTGTTGTTCATATTGTCTGTATGTGAAAACTAATCTGGGGATAATATAATAATCCTTGCCTAACCCCATCCCCACCCCCAAGCAATTGAATTCTTTAAAAAACAGCTTCACCAAAAATATGAGGAAGACCAGATTTTACAGGGCTTACTCAACAATTTTGAGATGTGCATAGTAAGAGAACTTTAGCTCTCATCCTTTTGACAGCAGAACAGGGGGCATGGAAAACAGCATATTTCTGATTCAGGAAAAGACCCTTGATTTTATTGCATGACAGCATTGATGATGAGTAGAGACTGAGACTTTTAGTCTTGAATATTTCACTTGTTTTGAGCAAAAGTAGTTAAGACCAGTTTAAGCCCAGGAAAAGGGAGTAGTTAAGTACTCATACAGGGTTGAAGCAATAGAAGTTTTGAGAAGGCCCAATGGCTCAATGCATTTCTTTCTCTGCAGTATGCCACCACGGGCTGTTCCCTGACCCTGCACCATACGGAGAAACCAGAACATGAAGACATCTGTGAATACCGTCCCTACTCCTGCCCTTGTCCTGGTGCCTCCTGCAAGTGGCAGGGGTCCCTGGAAGCTGTGATGTCCCATCTCATGCATGCCCACAAGAGCATTACCACCCTCCAAGGAGAAGACATCGTCTTTCTAGCTACAGACATTAACTTGCCAGGGGCTGTCGACTGGGTGATGATGCAGTCATGTTTTGGCCATCACTTCATGCTGGTGCTGGAGAAACAAGAGAAGTACGAAGGCCACCAGCAGTTTTTTGCCATCGTCCTGCTCATTGGCACCCGCAAGCAAGCTGAGAACTTTGCCTATAGACTGGAGTTGAATGGGAACCGGCGGAGATTGACCTGGGAGGCCACACCCCGGTCGATTCATGACGGTGTGGCTGCGGCCATCATGAACAGCGACTGCCTTGTTTTCGACACAGCCATAGCACATCTTTTTGCAGATAATGGGAACCTTGGAATCAATGTGACTATTTCTACATGTTGTCCATGATGTGACTTTCGTAAACCATCAAAATTATTTGGGCATAGTGCTCTATGTTTAATAAAGGTTTTTATAGATGTTTTATTCCATATGTCTTTACAAGTCAGGACCCACAATTACCCGTGTTTTGTTTGAACAGCAGTTTCCCATCTGGCTTCAACCCAACAAAGTTCATTAACCTGGAATGAATGGGGTTGGCCTGTTGGTAATTTGGAGGCTGTTCTGTGATCTAAAACACCTCTTATTAAATTATATTTACTCCCTAAACAACACTTGACAGGCTGTTGCACAGGGCTTCTATAGATCAGTGTGTCAGGAATGGGAGGCCCCTTCCTGCCTGCCTTCGCGTGTTGGTCCCTTGACATTGACAAAAGCACAGTGACTGTCAGCAGATTCCTTTACTTTTGTTTGTGGGATGTAGGAATTGTTTTAATACATTTTAAACAGTGTTTCTCAAATAGGATGGCTGGCTAATAGACACTGAATCACCCGGAGTGCTTATCTTGAAATTGCAGATTTAAGGAGCCTGCCAATTTAACAGTCTCATCAGGTGATTCTTTTCAGCAGTAATGTTTGAGAATTACTGGGTGAAATTGTGGGAAAGGGTCCAGATTTTAAAGGTGCTTTAAGGTTGCCCTCTGCCGATACTGTTTGTCTTTCTACTGTTTCATCCCCTAACCTCCCCCAACCCTCAAATTAAAACTAGAACTATAGATCCACATGAACACACGCCTGAGATTTGGTCACTCACCTATGTTTTGGGTGGATTGCCTAGGAAAGCAAGTCATATGGCCATTGATAGTTCTCATGTAATTAGTTTTGCTCACCACTAGTACAGATGACCCGTTTACACATGGCTTCCCTCGGAAGCCCTCGTCGACAGTAGCTGGTGTGAAAGACGAGGTCAGTAGAGTTGGAAAAGCTTTATAACCGGTGTGTCATATGCTTGCTATTTAAAGCTGTGTGTTGATTTTGTTTTTCTGCCACATTCACTAGTTTTTTAATAAATATTTTCCAAAAATGGATGTTGTGCTTCATTTCCCTAATTGAATAACGGGTATTTATTGAGCATCTACTGTGTACAAGTGCAGTGAACCTTCATCACTACATCTGGGGTTGGAACTTTCACTGTTTCCACTGTGGAAACAGTCACTGGGCCAAGTCATGGCGCGGGTCCATGACAGCACTGGGGTCCGGGCTCATGTGTCTGAACCACTGAATGTCAGTGCTGCAGGTCTCCTCCCAGGGCTGTCGTTTCTATCTGATGGTGCCAGCAGCTGTGCAAGAAGAGGATTGCTCCTGCTTTACAGAGTCAGAAGGAAGACGCTTGGCCAGTGCTGACATCCAGAGTGCTAGGGCTGATCCATGGTGACCCACTGCCTCAGTCCCAACCCTAAACTCTCAAAAGAATTCAGAAGATTAGGGCCAAATGCTCAGCAAGGATTGAAGGCTGCTTACTTCAGTGTCCCAGTTTCTTTTTGTTGTTGTTGTTGTTGTTTTTGTTTTTGAGACGGAGGCTAGAGTGCAATGGCGTGATCTCAGCTCACTGCAACCTCTGCCTCTGGGTTCAAGCAATTCTCCTGCCTCAGCCTCCCGAGTAACTGGGCCTAGAGGCCTATGCCACCCCACCCGGCTAATCTTTGTATTTTTAGTAGAGATGAGGTTTCACCATGTTGGCCAGAACTCCTGACCTCAAGTGATCCACTTGCCTCAGCCTCCCAAAGTGCTGAGATTAAGGCGTGAGCCACCATACCTGGCCCTCAGTATCCCAATTTCATTAGCATACTACCAAGAGGAGGTGATGGCTTTGGAGTTGACTGTTTTTTAAGTGAGATACAGTGCTGAGTTTTTAGCTAGCATAGGGCTCTGGCATTTAAAGAATTGCTAAAGTAACCTCTTCTAGACTGTTCTTCAAATAAAAGTGAAAAACAGTGCCCTGCACAAAAGTAGGGGTTTGCAACATTTGTGGTGAATGAACGAAAACCACAACTCTTATCACTAAGAAAGTCACATTTCAAGTCAGTATACAGGGGGACCTGTGAAGGTGAAACTAGGATCCAGGAGCAGGTGAACTTTGACCCTCAGGACCAGAGCCAGTCCAGATATGGCCTCCAGGGACCTCACTGCACCCACGCAAGGTGCAGCCTGCATACACTGGCCAAGCTTGGCAGCATCACTTCACATTCACAGCTTACCCTCTTGTTACGTGTGATAGAGGAATCAGGACTGATTGGTTAACAGTGCATAAAAGGCAAAACTATAAACAAAAGACATGAAGAAGGAGAAAGTGGACATGAGTTACTCCAAAAGCACAAAAAGACTTTTAGCCCAAAGAGGTAAAGTGACGGGCCAGCAGCCACACAGTGCACTAGTGGCAGCACTGGTTCTAGAATTCAGGCTTCTTGGTTCCCCAGGCAAACTTGCTCCTAGAACTTAACAAATGAAAAAGTTGTAGGCAACGCAACTCTGAACTTTTATTTTCCAGAGTTACGTAGTTCCCTTTCATCTCTGTCACTGGAAATCTGTAAACTTAACCTTTACTCTTGACTTTCTTGAAACTGTGCATTTTCTACCAGAAAATAAAAATCCCCAGGTTATTCCCTGTTTTAACAGGAAGTGAAAATAGCAAAAAAAGATTATGTAAAGTGAAATGTCTTTTTATACAGTTCCAATTGCAAATGCAATTTAAAACATGATGAGTACATTCCTTGGCTTGTTGCTTTAAAAAAAAAAAAGTGAGAGAAAAAAAAAAGAAAAGCAATGATAGGCATTTGTCAAAACTCATCACATGGTCCACTTAAGTACCATATTTTTAAAAATAAGAATATTTTATCTTTCGTGTCCTAGTTCAATATTCTAATTTGATAATCTGGTGATTAAACGATGGTAGATTAAGTCTGTGTCTTATGACACATGAGTCATTCTAAAGAAAAAAGGGTTCTCAAAATACCTTGGGAGAAAATGTTAACAGTCATTAATTCTGGGTGCCTAGAACCTGGGTGTATGTTATATTATTAATTGCATTGTTCTATGTTTTTAGTTTTTTTTTTAAAAAAAACCAACCTTGAGATCAGGGGTTCCCAATATTCTTGTAAGGAGGAATTGGTCTTGGTTTCCCTGAATCCAGAAGACTTAAAGGATTGAGACAGTGAAGTTCTTAGAGGGAACTGTGCAGGGGATTATGGGATACTTCAGAGAAGAGGCACCGAAGCATCAACCATCTTGGAACTCTGCCAACTAGAACCTCAGACTCAACTGACACATCCAAACTAATGGCCGAGTGTCTTTTAGCAGCATCAAGCAACTCCCTTACAATACCACCCAAAGTAATTTTCCTAAAGAAATTCTCCTTGTATGTAACTTCATTCAGGTTCTTGGGGCTTGCCAAGTAGCCAGCAATGTGACCTTAACTTGGTCAGTTGACCTCTCTGGTCCTAAATTTCCTAATCTGCAACATTTGAAGGTTTATTTTCTAAATGTTTTTACTTTAGTACTAATTTCTGTGAGATAATCAAGCTATTCAATGTTAGGTTGAGGTACGTAAATCATTCCTGCCGGCCTGTGTACGAGGTGGTTCTGGTATCACTGTGGCCCAGCATGTGTCTGTCTGTCAGCGTTGGCAGGTGAGTCATGCTCCAGCTACCTCTCAGATTCCCATGGTTTAGAACTAGGGGTGGTGCCTGGGTAGAGGGACCAGTTTTGCTTTGTGGCTCTCACTTGAGAGGCCTGTGGCCTTGACCCTTCCTGATTCATGCAGACTGTGCTTGAAAGTATGATTATAATTTCACTGACCTGTGAAAGGGAGGCAAGAGCGCTTAAAGGGAGAAATCTAATTCCCTGTATTATTAAACCTTCTACTAATTTGAAGCTTAAAATCTCTTATTTGTGAATATCATTAATGTGTCTTGGAGTCTGCAAATGACAAGCAGAAAGGACTTTGATCCCATTGACACCAACACCCACCACCACTACCATTTTACAGAATAAACAAGACCTACAGAGGGAAATGCACTGGCCCCAAACCACACTGCTGATGAGAATTTTCTGTGATGATGACATGGTGTCTTCTGTATTGAGTAAAAAGGGAAAAAAATTACAAAACAGCTTAAAGTACAAGCCAACATTTTACCATGACTAAAGGAAGGGGCTCCCAGTCTTGATTCCCCATTTCCATTGCCACCATCTGGGCCAGGACCACAGACAGGGCTCCTAACTGTTTGTCCTCCTTCTTCCTGCCTGCTCCAATCTATTCTACACATAGGCAACTAGAGGCTCTTTTGACATGAAAATCAGTGGCATCACAGCTCTTCAACATTCTCTTGTGGTGCACCCTGTTTTTTTCCTTCATGGCACCACATTTGCGATTACATATTTTTGTTGTTGTTGTTCAGCGCCTGCCACTCCTTGACAACCTGCAGGGTAACAGAGACAATGAAGTCCCCGGCACCTAGGCACCCAATTAATATCTGAATGAATAAATAACTACTAACAGGCTAGTGTAAGAGCAGCATTAAAGTCAACACTTTAAGAGTTAAGGTTTTCTGTTTTTGTACCAAAAGTCCCTGGGGAAATTACGCAAGTAGGCAGGGAACAGAGATGGGGAGATAATCTAACAATCCAGAGAAAGGAAGAAACAAAGGGTTTCTCTGCCCCCGTCATCCTCCAGGCAAGGTCACAGATGCTGGTTTGAAGGTTCTGAGCCTTGAAATTTTTTGTCATGGAGTCACCTGACATTCAGATCAAAGGCCAACTCCACTCTATGTTTGATGATCCTTGCAGCAAGCACAGATCAAGGTTCCCAAGACCTGCAGCAATTGGATTACAAGATTAGATCAATTTGCAAAGTCCACCAAGATCACAGCAGTTGCCATCCGTTAGGTACCTATTGTGTGCAAAGTGCTTTGTCTGTATTAACCCATTTAAGCCTCTCAATAAAGGAAGTGTTTATTATCCCCATTTCAGAGTTGAAGAAATGAAGGCTCAGAGAGATGAAGTAATTTGCCTACACTCACACAGCTGGTAAGAAACAGAATTGGAATATGAACCCATTGCGGAGTCCATGCCCTTCGCCATATCACATGATCCATCATTATTCTTGTTTGGCTTTCACATATTTTGACCACCGGCAAAAATATTGCTTATTTGTAACAGATAAAGATGAACAAGATGGAGGGGTGCAGGATGCTTGGTGAATACGGAACATACCACCTGTGCTTTGGAACTACCTCACCCACTGTCATGGCATGCTAGAAGGGGATGGAGACCTAGAAATGGTTCAGACCCTCACTAGTTAAAGTGTGGTCCGTGCACCAGTGGCGTCAGCATCACCTGGGAACTTGTTAGAAATGCAGCATCTTAGGCTCCACCCCAGACCTCCTGACCAGAATCCCCATTTTAACACAGTATGCAGGTGATGTGGATGCATGTTCAAGTTTGGGAAGCACTGGTCGGACCAAAGGTAATCACCCCACATGTCCTTTAGAATCATGTGGGGAACTTTAAAGAATGCCAGGACCTAAGTTAGAATTCTTGGCAGTAAAGCTGAGCTTCTGTGTGCTTTTTAAAGCTTCCCAGAAGGGACTAGCACGCAGTCAGGGTTGAGAACCTCTGACCCAGTCCAACCTCACTGCCTTATTTTCTCTTGTATTTCTCATCCAGCCACTGAGACAAGTGAAGTGACCTGTCAACACTGTAGATTGAATAACTAGGGAAGGCTGAGGAATGCAAGTGAATGTAAAAACCACCTGGAGGGAAGGAAGCATTGCAGCAAGAAAGGAACAGCAAGTGCAGAGGCCTGAGGCAGAACCAGCGGGGAAAATGCTTTGAGGTGAGGCAGGTAAGGAGCTACAGCCTTGCCCTGTGAGGCCAGCTAGGGGTCTGGGTTTCTTTCCAGGTACAATGGGAGGCCACTGGAGAGTTTCAAGGAGCATGGATTATGGGATTCAGGGCGAGCTGTAGGTGCTCAATTGAAAAAACAAAACAAAAACAATGATTGTAAAGGGCAGGAATGGAAGCATTTTGGAAGCTATTGCATTTCACCCAGTGAAACATGATTATGGCTTGGACAGAGTGAGCAAAGGTGAAGATTAACAGAAATGGGCAGATTTGGGCTATGTTTTCAAGATAGAGTTAACAGGAGTTGCTAAAAAGTTGGATGGGTAGGAGAGATGTGATGATTATAGGAATAAGAAAAGAGAGAATCAAGGATGATCACTCCTAGGCTTTCATCCTGAGTACATGGGTAAAAAGTTCCATGTATTGGGGCAGAGACTGGTGAAGGAGCCAGCATAGGGCAGAAATCTAGAGAGACACATGGCTGAAGACATCAACCAGACAGTTGTTTGAATGAGCTTGGAGCTCTGAGGGAAGGCCAGGATGGAAATACCGAAATGTGTGCACCATCACTGTATGTATGGTGTTTAAGCTGTCGGGTGGAAGTGAGAAGACCCGGGGGTTTGGGCAATGGAGGGAGGTGCATACAGACAGAAAAGAGGGTGGGACTCAGGCCTATCTCCTGGGACTGCCAACCTTTTAGAGGTCACATGAGGAACCACAGCCTGGAAATGAGGCTGGATAGAAGGAGTGGCCATCAAGATGAGGGGAACTCCTAGAGAATACAGCATCACGGAACCCTGGGAAAAAAATCTGGCTCAAGTTGAACAGAGGAGTCAGCTGCTGAGAAGACAATCGAGGTCGTGGCGATGTGTCAAGAGCAGTCTCATGGCGTGGAGAAGACAGTAACCCAGAGTAGAGCAGGTGCGGGAGAGAACAGGGCATGGGTGAGGAGAGGAGGCAGGAGCTACAGTTAGAGAGCTATAGACAAGGAGCGATAGACCAGGCTTTTAAGAAGTTCTGCAGAGAAGACGTAGAGAAATGAAGCAGTTGCTGCAAGAGAATAGCGGGATCGATGAAATATTTTTATTTTGCGTTTTAAAAATTGGAGCCACTAGAGCATGGCACTGTGCCAATGGGAAGGATCCAGAAGAGAGAGTGAAATGGATGATGTGGAGAAGGCAGCAATCACAGCAGGGGCAAAGTAATCAGAAAGACAAGCTTCTGGGCAGATTACTTACTTATGCAGTAGAGATGGTCAGGAAGCAGCCACTATTGAAACAGAGAGAGGTGGGAAAAAAATTATGCCGACAAGCAAGGGTTGAAGCAAATTATGTTTAGAAGGCCCTGGTGAGCGAGTCTGTGTATATCCAGCCCTGAACAGGAGAAAGGCACTGGCTGCAGCTCATCCTAGAACATCCCAGGCATCTGAGAGGTTTACACCTCAGCAAGCTGTGGTGTTTTTCTGGGCTCCATGAAAACGTGCATGAAACATTTCTGAGGACCATCCAACACCATTTTCCTGAGAGACAAGCTGTAAGTGCTGTTGTAGTTACAGATCCGAGTCCCTGGTACATTGATATCAAGTAAGGGCGCCTGCAGCTCAGAAGGCAGTTTCCATTACACTGGACAAGAGTGTGGCTGCCTGAGTCCTAGAATTGCAGTGGTTTCTGCTGACAATGTGAGGAGTAGCTGCCCCGTCCAGAGTGTGGCCCTGCGTGCTGCCCCCTCCCCTGGAGGGAATGCAGAGAACAGCTTGGAGCGTGCCCTTCCCTTTCCCTTATCTCACCCGCTATGCTAATGCTGCTCATCCCTCAAGATCCCAGTTGTTCCTCCTCAATTCAATACAAACTAATCAACTGCCCTGGGCTTAGTCCTGTACTTTCTATCCTTGATATGGTTTAATTTTCACAAAACACCTTGAGGTGGGTATTATCACTCCCATTAACAAAGAATAAGGTGGGGGCTCAGATAGGCTAAGTAACTTGCCCAAAGTCACACAGCTTGTAAGCAGTGAAAATGGGATTTACACTCAGGAATGTAGCCCTTCCAACAGCCCTGCTGCCTGCAAAAGTGACTCAGATATGGACTTTACAGTCTAGCAGAAGTCTGAAAGCATCAAACAAAGAGGCAACTTACAGTAGCATGAAATATGCAACCACCACTATATCAACTGTGTTTGCAAAGCAAGTTAAGTCAAGGACATACAAATTGCTATGGATTTCAAAGGAAGATTGGAAAAGGCTTCTTGGAGGAAACAGTGCATGCATTGGACCTCAGGTGTTGGGTAGGATTTTGCAAGGCTGAGGTAGTTAGGAGGATGTGCCAAGAGAGCAGCCGCTTCTGGACCAAGACCAATCCACTCAATGCCTCATTCCAGCCTTGTCCACCACCCATTCACTTCGCAGGGCTTTTCATCTCTCACACTTCCTTTGTCCCTACGTTCTCGATATCCACACCAGGTCAGACACGTAGAAGGTGCCGAGTGAATATTAGAGTTCAGCAGCGTCCTGCCTGGTCCCTATTTCTAATCTATCCTTTAACCCATCCTCATACTAGCTAAATTTCAGGACAGACCCTGCCCACAATAAAAACTACTTCTTCTAGGGAATTTGCCCTGCCCATAGTTCCTGGAACACTACATGCAAACCCCCCACTAATCCACCCACGCACAAACTCATAAGGCAGGCCTCAGGTGATAAGACCTTACCCGGGCCAGCAGTTCATTGGCTGAGCAGCCACCAGTCAGATTCTCTTGAGACAGTCAAAGACAGTCAGTGGTGTGCACCAGAGTCACACAACCCTGGAAAGTCGGCACACTAGCAAAGGAAAAGCCTTGACGTGACAGCAAGAGGCCCCAAGGGGTGGAGGGAGCAGCCACCACCGCCCACCCTCCCAGGTCCTAATCCCTCCCCAGGGAGCCCAGCAACACTCCATCTCCTGCTTTGAGGCATCTTGGAGACAGCCTGCTGTGCCTTCACAATTCTTCTCATCACTTTTTTTTCAATTTTAGACTGTATTTATTCACTCCCACCATCAAAATTGAAGAAAGTAACACACAAAGTTTCTCCCTCCTTCTAATTTTGCTTAATTTTATGATTATTGCTGTCAAGATGTAGAACTTTATTTTTTTCTTTTGAGATGGAGCCTCTCTCTATTGCCCAGGCTGGGGTGCAGTGGCGCCATCTCTGCTCACTGCAACCTCCGCCTCCGGGGTTCAAGCGATTCTCCTGCCTCAGTCTCCGAGTAGCTGGAATTACAGGCGCATGCCACCACGCCCAGCTAATTTTTGTATTTTTAGTAAATATGAGGTTTCACCATGTTGGCCAGGGTAGTCTTGAACTCCTGACCTCAAGCAATCCACCCACCTCAGTCTCCCATATTGCTGAGATTACAGGCGTGAACCACTGCACCCAGCCAAGATGTATAACTTTTAAAAAACATTTTATTAAGTAAATTTTCAAAAGGAAGGAGAAAAATGTAATGAATTTGATGTGTTAGCACCAACTTCAACCATTACCAACGCTTGGCCAGCTGTGCTTCATCTATATCCTCACCTACATCCACACGTGGATTTCTTTGAATCAAATCCCAGGCATCATGTCATTTCATCTGTATATGTTTCAGTACAGAATATCTAAAGCTCAGGACTTTGAAACATACAATACTGTTTTTACATCTATAAAAACTATAAAATTTAATATAATCAAATATACAGTCAGAGGTCACATTTCTCTGGTTGATATACAGTCTGTTTGGACTGGGATACACATATAAGATCCTTACATTGCTACTGATAAAATGCTTATGTCTCTTTTAATCTACAGAGTCTCCCTCCATCTCTTTTCCTTTCTTGAAATTATTTATTGAAGAACCCAGGGTTCCTATAGCAGAGTTTCCTATAGTCTCATTGCAACCCCAGAATATCATTTGATCAGATTCAGATTTGATTTTTCTTTTTACAAGACTGCTTCAAACCAACCAGGGAACTGTTGGGGGCAGACGGGGAAGACGACTGCTTCATAGGTGATGGTGGTGATGTGTACGTCTATAACACAAAGGACAATGCCTGTTGCTCTCTTCCTCTAACTCCGTCTTTGTCTCTTTTAGTGATATTATCAGCCATTGATGGCTCATATTCACTTATTAGGAATTACAGAATGATCTTTCCAATCTATCATTCCTTCTTTATTAACTGGAAAACTTCTATAGTGACAAAGTCCCTCTTTTCAACTATTTGTTTACCCTAAGGTACATTTTGCAAGGGAAAGATAACATAAATGCCTGATTATTTTCCTTTATCAGTTTTCAAAACAATGGGGTAGTATTTTAGCATCCTTCAAAAACAAAACCAATGAAGTAACATTTTAAAAATATATCGGGCAGGCCAGGCATGGTGGCTCATGCCTGTAATTCCAGCAGTTTGGGAGGCTGAGGCGGCAGATCATGTGAGGTCAGGAATTCGAGACCAGCCTGGCAAACATGGTGAAAACTCGTCTCCACTAAAAATACAAAAATTAGCCGGGTATGGTGGTGCATGCCTGTAGTCCCCAGATACTTGGGAGGCTGAGGCAGGAGAATCGTTTGAACCTGGGAGACGGAGGTTGCAGTGAGCCGAGATCACACCACTGCACTCCAGCCTGGGTGACAGAGCAAGACCCTGTCTTAAAAAATAAAAATCGGCCGGGCGCGGTGGCTCAAGCCTGTAATCCCAGCACTTTGGGAGGCCGAGACGGGCGGATCAGGAGGTCAGGAGATCGAGACCATCCTGGCTAACACGGTGAAACCCCGTCTCTATTAAGAAATACAAAAAACTAGCTGGGCGAGGTGGCAGGCGCCTGTAGTCCCAGCTACTCGGGAGGCTGAGGCCGGAGAATGGCGTGAACCCGGGAGGCGGAGCTTGCAGTGAGCTGAGATCCGGCCACTGCACTCCAGCCTGGGCGACAGAGCGAGACTCCGTCTCAAAAAAAAATAAAAATAAAAATAAAAATAAAAATCATTATGTCTCTCTCGAAAAAGAATATCATTATGAATTCATGGATTTAAACATTTTTATGTATTTCAATTCATTGCCATTATTATCCTTGTTGATATTAATACCATTCCATCTCGGCCTGACAAATGCATATTCAGCTGGGTTCCTGTGTGCTTCTGACATGACCACAAATAGCCTTTGATGTTCCAGACTCATCTTGTTCTTTCCCTGCCCTCAACATGTAATCAATGAAGTCTTCAAGGAACCTCGATTTCTTTAGCGTGAAACAATGATTCAAGACCACAGTCTAGGCAGTAGGAGCCCCCTTTATCCCAACTTGAGCCAGTTTGAATGGATTTTCCACCTCAGAGCTGAATAGATGTTGACTAGAATTCTCAATGTTTCCACCAAAATAAGTTATGAAAGAAGCAAATCTGGTCGCACAAACCTAATTTAATCTCTTCCCTTTTTTAGGCAACGGTGCCAAGATATTCGATGGAGAAAGAATAATTGTTTCAACAAATGGTGCTGGGACAACTGGATATTCACATGCAAAAGAATGAAGTCGGATCCCTGCCTCATGCATATGTGTGTGTGTGTGTGTGTGTATAAATTTATATGACAGACACTGTCCTTTGTGTTATAGATGTACACATCACCACCATCACCTATGAAGCAGTCAGGGTTTTTTCCCCAATAGTTCCCTGGTTAGTTTGAAGCAGTCTTGTAAAAAGGAAAATCAAATCTGAATCTGAGCAGATTATATTCTGGGGCTGTAATGAGACTATAGGAAACTCTGCTATGGGGAATCTGGGTTCTTCAATAAATAATTTCAAGAAAGGAAAAGAGATAGAAGGAGAATCTATAGATTAAAAGAGACATAGGCATTTCATCAGAGGCAATGTAAGAATGTTTCTATTATATATTACATATTATATATTCATTCATTCATTTATCCAACACACATATACACATACTGCTTCCCTACACGATGCCAGGTACTATTCCACACACAAAGGATCCAGCAAAATGTACAAAAATTCTAGCCCTTGGCTGGGCACGGTGGCTCATACCTGTAATCTCAGCATTCCAGGAGCCAAGGCTGGCAGGTCACTTGAAGTCAAGAGTTTAAGACCAGCCTGGCCAACATGGTGAAACCCAGTCTCAATTAAAACTACAAAAAAATTAAAAAATTAGCTGAGTGTGGTGGTGCATGCCTGTCCCATCTACTCAGGAGGCTAAGGCACAAAAATTGCTTGAACCCGGGAGGTGGAGGTTGCAATGAGCCGAGATTTCACCACTGCAACTCCAGCCTGGGTGACAGAGTGAGACACTGTCTTAAAAACAAAATAAAATAAACAAAAAACTTCTGGCCTTTGTGTTGTTTACATTCTCATGGAGAGAAGAAGGCAATAAACAAAACATATACAAAGATTTTATACAGTATAATACACTGAAGATAGTCAATGCTATGGAGAAAAATAAAGCAGGGAAAAGGGGTGGTCAGTAGGGGAACAGGGGAGAGGAGGGATCGCAGTTATAAACAGAGTGATATTTCAGCAAATGTTTGACGGAGGTGAGGGAACGAAACGTGCAGCTAATTGGAGGAAAAACATTCTACGCAGGGGAAATAGCAAGTGCAAAGGCCCTGAGGTGTGCATGCCTTGTGTGTTCGAGGAATATCCAGGGAGTGGAGTCTGGGGAAAGCAAGTAGGAGCTGAGGTGAGAAAGTGCGAGGAGAGACAAACTCTGCTATTTTATTGGAGCAGAGCACAGCGGCATGTTTACATCTAAAAAGAGCAGAAATTATTCTGGATGATGACTCCACAAGGGGAATGTATGCAGCTTGCCTGGTTTAAGATAAGGGTCATAATCAGTGGCACACGGGAGCCGGCACGTACCAACTTGCAACAGTCAAATGTTTAGGAACCTTGAGAGCCAGTTGGTAAACACAGCTGTTAGTAAAAATTAAATTCTGGCTTTATAATTAAGTAAGTTATATTTAATAGTATTATATTTAACAATACATATTTAACAGTAGCAGTATTTGGTACTTAGAAAGTGGTAAAGGCAACAAATTGGGGCTTGATTTATTATTTGTTGTCTAGACTTAGGAAAATGACGAAGAAAATGTTAATAATAGAGCTTTAACTTAGAATCATGTCATACGTGGAACCATTACATTGCAAATAGGACAAAAAGTTAAAGAAATACTTTTCTAGTAGTCAAAAACTATTGCCCAAGTCAACAAAGAAATCACTCACATCATTGATGACACTGATGAACTAGTGAAATGTTGACAAACATCTGAAAGTTAAGGTTCCTTCATTTTAATCTTACTGGTATCAGCCAGCATTTATGTCATAACTACTTGTTTGTCAATATCAACCACAGGTTGGCATACAATATATGCCAAGGGTTCAGCAAAATACAAGGTTCAGAAACAAGGGTTCAGCAAAAAGCAATGAAAACATTCTAAGGGAATCAATAGGCTAGATGGAATTTAGAATACTGTATAATTTCTTATTATTTGTACATTGGGTGCTACAATTCCTTTATATCAGTAAGATTTATCTGACACTTGCATGTGTTTAAAAAAAAAATTTAATTTCTGGAGTGCCAGTTATTAAACATTTACCAGTACACCTCTGGCTACAATCTGATCAAATCCAATTTTACGTATCTTAGAGCCCAGACAGATAGAGAGAGAGACCTCTCAAGGAAGCGAAGCAATTAAAAGGAATGGAGTTACTTCAAAATCCTTCTGCTCTAGAATTCAGAGTCAGCTAGGCTGGAGACCAAGAATTCCTTTGTGTTTATATTTATGATACCTTCTATTTACAGTAGGTGATTCTAGCTCTCCATTTATGGTAGTGATACAGTTTCCCTTTCAAGTAAACTTGTTTAAATTACCAAAAAAGACAATTTCGAGAAAAATGTTAAGTAAATGATAATACAGGAAATACACGGAAGTGGTAAAAATTCAAATGGTGACCTGCAATGTCTACACTGGGAAACACTAGCTCAGTGATTAAGAACTCAGGCTGGCTGGGCACAGCGGCTCACGCCTGTACGCGCCACTGTACTCAAGCCTAGGCAATAGAACAAGACTTCCCCTCAAAAAATAAAAGAACTCAGGCTTTCAAGCCATATCTGGGCTCAAATTCAGACACTCCTAATTACCATTACCTTTGTGAATTCATTGGCCTCAGCGTCCTTGTCCATAAAACAGGGACGCTGCCAACTCCACAGGGTTGCAATGAGTTGTGAGATACAGGGAAGCCCAGAGCCTGGCACAAATGGGAGTTGACGAAAGAGGGGCTCGAGGGAGGAGCCTCATCTGGGGCCTGGCCTCCTCAGCCCAAAACAGGCAACACCTTCAAATTCCTCTCTGACGTGTACAAAATGTAAATATTAACAAGCACACACACGCAACAGCAGGACGCACTGCTCCCTGACTCAGCATTCTCCCCTACGGCCCTAAGTGCTTCCCTCTCCTATCTGCTGGAGTAGCAGGTTCTCAGGGGTTCCTTAAACCTCAACAGAGCCCTCAGATCAGTCCCTGGTTCTGCTGGGCACTCCGATTATAAAGAGGAAAAGGCTTCTGCCCTGCCCCAGAGAGCCCTTCCCAGCTAGAGCAGGAGACTGGTAAACAAAGTAGAGCTGGTAAACAGAGTACCTGATGATGACCACGGGAATGGCATGGTCCCCTAAGTCTCCTTCGGAGCTCCCATTGCTCTTCTCTGTCAGGAATTTTTTTTTTTTTTTTTGAGATGAAGCCTCACTCTTGTCGTCCAGGCTGGAGTGCAGTGGCGCTATCCAGCTTACTGCAACCTCAGTCTCCTGGGTTCAAGTGATTCTCCTGCCTCAGCGTCCTGGGTAGCTGGAATGACAGGTGCCTGCCACCACGCCCAGCTAATTTTTGTATTTTTAGTAGAGACGGGGGTTTCGCCATGTTGGCCAGGCTGGTCTCAAACTCCTGACCTCAAGTGATCTGCCCGCCTCTGCCTCCCGAAGTGCTGGGATTTCAGGCATGAGCCACTGCGCCCAGCCTTCTTTGTTCCACCATTCTTTGTCCCTTCATCTGACCTATACCTTTGTAAATAGTCTCTCACCCTCTCTCTCCACAGTTACCCAACTGGGTGTCCTGCCCAGACCCAGACCACTACCTGCTTACAGAGTGCTTCATATGCATCAGCAGGCCCTTCTCCGCATCTTATGTCCATTAACTCATTTAAGCATCAGAACAACCCTATGAAGCAGACACCAGGAACAGCCCAGTTTACAAGTGAGGAAACTGAGACACAGAGTACTCAGTTACTTACTCAAGTTTACATGGTGGGAAGTAGCGGGGCCAGGCAGTGTCTCTGCTGACCCTACTCCGTGTTAGGATATGTACAAGAATAGGAAAGTGCGTGTCTATTTTCGCTTCCTGGAGCACAGGACCAGCCACACCGGCAGGTTTCTGGCACTCTGGAGTGTAGTTCAGAAATGGAAAGCTCACCCAGGCCCCACTGGGGTCTGACGCCTCACTATCTCCTAGCCGCTGGTGTTGCCACATCGGTGTGACTCAGTCACATTTGGTCTGCTTCTCCTGCTGCTAGCACCCTGCTTCTCTCTGCTCTCCTCCCATCCCCACTGCTTCTGCCTTCTTTGTGTGTCCTTTAATTTCTACTCCTTACCAACTACTGCTGACTCAAACTCCCCAAGAGGGGACCACTTGATTCGGCCAGCCACTAGTCCACTTTAAAAGTCACTGGTCTCGGCAGGACACGGTGGTTCCCAGCTGTCATCCCAACATTTTGGAAGGCTGAGACAGGGATCACTTGAGGCCAGGAGTTCAAGACCAGCCTGGGCAACATAGCGAGACCCTGTCTCTCTACAAAAGAAAAGTAACTGGGCATAGTGGTGTGTGCCTATAGTCCCAGCTACTCAGAGGTGGAAGGATCACTGTGTCCAGGAGTCCAAGGCTGCAGTGAGCTACAATCATGCCACTGAACTTCCAGCCTGGGTGACAGAGCAAGAACCTGTCTCAAAAAGAAAATTAATAAATTCTTTAAAAGTCACTGTCTTGTCCCTGAGTCAGGAGATGCATGGTTACCCGATGGGATGTAGGGGTCAATGGAAGGGAAGACATCAGCAGACCCACTACAGGATTGTTTCATGGCAAAGTAAACAGAGACACACACAAGCAGGAGATAGCACAGCCTGCTTCCAGGCAAAGGTATACACATTCTCATGGTGGGTGGGGAAGTGGATATACCCTCCCAGCCCCTCCCAACTGTTCTGGAAGCTCTGGCTGCATACTGGCTCTCCCCAGTAGCAAGAAGCTGATGCGAAACAACCCTTGCACATTACCCTGAGACTAGGTGATGCAAGACTCAGTTTCCCAGGAGCACCCCAGCAGACTGGGGCCTCAGGCCTACCCCAAGTCCATTCCTGCAAATGTCCACTGGTCAGCAATGAGAGGGCCACCTAGTGCAGAAATACAGACCAGGCCAACAACACAAAAGAAGCCACTGAGGGCCCCTTCACTGACCTCTCGGAGTGTAGCAGGCACCCAGGTCTTGACAGGCTCCTCTATAGCACATTCCTTAGGCACCCTCCACTCCAATCTCCCCGAACTTCCCACAGTTTACAAACATACCGAGTTCTTTCATGACTCTGTGTCTCTGCCCCGGACCAGTCTCTCAGCCCAGAAGGTCTTTTCCTGTCTTATTCCTGCAAACTACTTCCTCTTCATCCTTCAAAAGATGCTCCTGAGAAAACCTCCTCAGATACCCCAAGCCCGATCAGCTGTCCTGTCTCCTGTGTTCTTCCTTCTCGGTCCTCTGGAACAGCATTCACCTTGTGATACACTGACTTTTTTTTTTTTAACCTGTCTGTTCTCTCTCTCTCTTAAACCAAGAACCAAGAGCAAGGCCTGTGACTGATTCCGTTTTATATTTTAGGGACCTTCCCCAGACCAGGAACACACTAGATGTTCCCCAGGCAAGTATGAAAGAACTGAATAGATGAAGAGCAAGGAACATCATCAGAAAACAGTAAATAGCGTGGTGACTGTTGTTTCCCCAAAGCAAGCAGAGCCTGAGACAAAGCTTAGATGAAGTTTATTTAGGAAAGGCTGGGCCTGGTGGCTCACACCTGTAATCCCAGCACTTTCAGAGGCTGAGGT